GAGAGCGTTTGAGCTTTCGCAATACCGTATTAATGTTAATAATGAGGCGTTTCAATTAATAATTATTCGGAATAATAAACTTTAAAACCAGAGTGACGAAAAAGTCGCCGCACGAGGAACTGGCCGGGAAGTCTAAAAAGTATGGGCGGGAAGTCGGCCGTCACAGAAAGGTCGTTCTCCTCAGCCATCGGGCGGGGGGAGGGGGGTAGCCGCAGTGAACGGATAACCCTAACCCTAACCCCAACCCACACCCCAACCCTAAACTCCCTTACCCTAACCTCCAACCTCAACCCCAACACTCTAAGCCCACAACCCCATCTTTTTATGTTCATCTATTGCGGCCTTCGGTCTCGTGTTGTCCTATTGATATTAATAACATATTGATAATAAAGATACGGGATAATAGCCTAAAAAACTCTATTAAAAGGGTCCCCCCTTCTCCCTGTTATTCCTTCCTGCACCACAGGATGGCACTGTTTCCTGTTTCCCTCAGAAAGGCGGCCGTGAAAAAACCGTTTCAAAAAAGCCACCCCAAAAGTTATTTTTTTATAATGAGACTGCGGTGCCTACTTTTCTGTCCCTTCACGAAAGGGTTCGAGCTTTCGTAATACCGTATTAATCTTCATCATGAGGCGTTTCAATTACTAATGATTCGGAATAATAAACTTCAAATCCCCGAGTGACGAAAAAGTCGCTGCGCGAGGAACTGGGCGGGAAGACTAAAAAGAAAGGAAGTCGCCCGCCACAGAAAGGTCGTTCTCCTCAGGCGTCGGGGGGACAGCCACGGTGAACGGACAAGACGTTCACCGTGCCGAAAATGTCCGCGCGAAAGGAAGTTGGGGGACGACTTAGAAGAAGGGACGGGAAGTCGGCCATGATGGGAAGGTTATTTTTCAAAGGCACGAGGGGACGGCCAAGGAAAACGGACAGGAAGTCGACCATATTTATTTTATTTATTTTATTTGGTTTGTCAATTGCTTACAAGATAATACGTATAAGTATAAACATAGTTATGAATACATGGATACATATAAGAAAAATAAAAGAAGCAATAGGACAGGGACGGTAGGCACGTTGGTGCGCTTATGCACGCCCCCTACAGACCTCTTAGGAAAGGGGTGAGGTCAATAGTAGACAGGTTAAAGTTTTTGGGGTTTGGGGAAGAAACCACAGTGTCAGATAGAGGATTCCAGACATTGACCACTCTGTTGCTGAAGTCGCACTTGAGACACAACGTGGTAAGATCAGAGAGTCAATGCTCGGTGGTGGCATTGCCAGAATCCAGGTGCTGGGAACATCAGAGCTGGAGAAGATGCGACGGGTAAGGGGGCGGCAAGGAAAAGCAGTGACAGCACCGAAGTCAAGGAAGGGGAAATGTGACAGGCTACAATTAATGGACAGAGTGGCAAGATCAGAGAGTCAATGTCCAGAGATGGCACTGCAAGAACATTAGAGCCTAAGAAGATGTTACGGTAAGCTACATGCCAGGAAAAGCAATGGCGGCACCAATAGACTTGAGGGACAAAAAGTGGCAAGATCAGAGTCTCGATGCCCAGGGGTGGCACTGCCAGAACATCAGAGGCTAAGATGATGTGATGGGTAAAAGGGGGGCAAGGAAAAGCAACGGTAGCACCAAAGTCAAGGAAGGGGAAACAAGACAGGCTACAATTAATGGACAGAGTGACAAGGTCAGAGAGTCGATGCCCAGGGGTGGCAGTGTCACAATATTAGAGCCTAAGATGATGTGACGGGTAAAAGGGGTGGCAAGGAAAAGCAATGGCAGCACCAAAGTCAAGGAAGAGAACAAAACCATCAGACAGGAGTTTGTAAAGATTCTCCGTCATCCAGATCATGGTCCTGATTTTCCCAACTCCTGCATGCCTGGATTCTGGCAGGGTCACAACTTGCCACTCTCAAATGTACCTCCTGTCTGATGTCCTAAAGATTCTTTCTCAGGAGGCACAGGACTTTTTTTCCATTGGAAGCAGAGGTGGTATTCAACAGGTTCTGACCAGTTCTGGAGAACCGGTAGTGGAAATTTTGAGTAGTTTGGAGAACCAGCATATACCACCTCTGACTGGAGATTTTACGGTATCCGTCCCCTGCCATGTCCACCAAACCACACCCAGAGAACAGGTAGTCAAAAAATTTGAATCCCACCACTGGTTGGAAGAAGTTTCGCTTCTCATCCAAGAAGCTTCAGCTCTAAAAATTGCAGACTACAGGAGCCAGGAGCACTACTCAAGTGACCCTGAAGACACCGATAAATCTCCAAATGCTCCAACACCCCTCTAAAAAGATGCAGATTACCAGCTGTCTGCAAGGAATATAAATTCTTCCATTCCCCGCTGTCCTGTCACAGATGTAGAAGTTTCTTGGATGAGAAGCGAAATGTCTTCAAAAGAAAAAAAAAAGGCCTGTTGCCTCCTGAAAAAGAACATTTAGGACATCAGGCAGCAGGTATACTTGAGAGCGGCAAGATTGGAGACTCAATGCCCAGTTGTGGCACTGCCAGAATCCAAGCATATAGGAGCTGGGAAAATCAGAACATGAGATGAGGCAGGTAAGAGGACGATGAAGAAAAGCAATGGCAGCACCAAAGTCAAGGAAGGGAAAGAAAGACTGCAATTAATGGACAGAGTGGCAAGATCAAAGAGTCAATGCCCGATGGTGGCACTGCCGGAACATTAAGATGCTGCAGTAGTTGGAAGCAAGGAAAAACAATGGAAGCACCCAAGTCAAGGAAGAAACAAGACCATCAGACAGGCGGTATACTTGAAAGGCAAAGAGTGACAAGATCAGAGAGTCCATGCCCAGTGGTGGCACTCCCAGAATCCAGGCATGTGGACATTGGGAAAATCAGAATGTGAGAAGATGCAGCAGGTAAGAGGGCTGCAAGGAATTGCAATGGCAACACCAAAGTCAAGGAAGGGAAACAGAACACTACGCTTTAAGGGAAGAGGTGCCAGCTTTCCATTCAATGATCCCTTCAGACTGCAACAGGTAGAGAGGAAACCAATCTCCTACCCATCCTCCTTCCTTCCCTGCTAGGGCCAGATTCAGCCTCCCATCGTGACTCCAGGCTTGGCTCTATTGCCTGCCCTCCCTCCATCCCAATCTCACTCAATTGTGAGTTATTTCTATACCCGCCTTGACCACAGGATGGCAGTTTTCTGTCTCTTAGCATTAGCATTGAGGCCATCATAGATCTTTTTAACGGTTTAAGGCTTTGGAAGCAGGATTCCTTCTTCTGTACCTATGTTGCAGCAAATGGGCCTCCTGTTGCCCGATTAATATTAAGGAATTTAATAACTACAGAATAAAAAAAAAATTAAAATCCCATTTAAAAGTCCCATCATGCCCAGGTCGCTGCGAAAGGCAGTTGGGGGATGACTAAGAAGGGTAGACAGGAAGTCGGCCATCCTGGGAAGGTCGCTACCAAAGATAGTTGGGGGGGAAAAAAGGCTGTCGGACAGGAAGTAATCCATTATGGGAAGGTCATTTTTCTAAAGGCACTAGTGACTATGGGACAGGAAGACAATGTTTAATGTGGTTTGTTTGAATTTATTGTGATGGTGTTAATAAGGTTAGGTTTTATGTTCACTGCTATTTTTGAGACATACGTTTTTATTAAAAAGTTTTATAATCTGTTCTTTCTATTTATCCTATCAGCAAGGCACTCTTACAACAAAAATGAAAAAAAAACCCATTGTAAAACATAACTAGGATATTTAAATGCTTAAAATAAGAAATTGGAGATTTCAGTCTCCACAAACCTGGGCAAAAGCAGAGGGGGATTGATTGTCACCATGTTGCCCTCCCTGTTTTTTCCCCCTACACAATAAAACATAATTGTACAAAACAGTATTTTTAGGGTTTTTATGTTTGGTTGGGGACACTACATTATTACACAAAACTTCTTTCTCTTCCTATTGGCTAACTGCTAGCATTGGACCTGCATACTTGCAGTGGTTTCTTTCTATGAGATGTGTCCTTCCACACCTCCTGTGACAACTCCTGAAAAGGGGAAGGCTCCACTCTCGAGTCTCAACAAAAGGATGCGAGTTAACCAGCTTTTGAATTGCAATTACATTAGAGGGGGGGAATCTACATTTGAGTATTCTTACTACCATGTTTATGTCCAACCTGGGAAGCTGAAATGCAATCATTTCTTTCATTTAAGCAGCAAGTGTGCTATCCAATACATCAAACAAGGAAATCAGCAGGGTTTTTTGAAGATCATAACAAAAACAATTTTATTATGTAAATGTTGGGTGTGGGTTAAATATCCACCTCCTAACCTGCTGTACAATTTTCCCAAGACTATAAACTGTGCCCTTCCATCCACAAGAGTTTGTGGCTCAATGCTGCTTCTTTTTTATCTTCATAGGGATGCCATTGCTCACCAATTAATGTGTAAACAAACCTACAGAAATGGTGAAAAACAAAGAAGAATGCATCTTTTTAAAGATAGAAAGTTTCAGGAGAGAAGAAAGTGGTGTGACTTGGCTGACAAATGACTTTGGTGTTCTGCATCCCTTCCAAAAAAACCATGGTGGAGCCAACAGAGTGGGTCCAGCCTTCCTGAACCTCCAACCTTACCTCTTCTTCCACTCCTTTCAGTGAAGCTTTTGCCAAAGCTTGCAAAAGGCCTTTGAAGCTGCAGCTACCAAAACAGCCGGCGCGGGCCGGGCCAGCGGGCACCGGGGCAAGGGCAGCGTCCCCGCTTGGCCGCCACATGATTTGTGCGTGTGGGGGGGGCGTGGATGAAACCCCCGGGACGCGGGGACGCCTGGATCGGGAGCCCGCCTCGCCACGGTGAAAGGACGGCCATGCGAGTCCCTCTACCTGGGCGGCCCGAGGGACTTCGTTCCGCCGCTTCCACCATCGGCGCCCGAACGACGCAGGGCGGCGCGGCGCGGCGCTAGGAGACGGCGCGGCGCCATGGCAACGGCCGCGTCGCTTTCCGGGGGCGGGGGTTTTCCGTTGGGGCAGCGGGGCTCGCGGTCCCTCGCTCGGCCCCCCCCCCCCCCCGCAGGCCATGGCCGGGCCCGCCCTGCGGATCGGCGATCAGCTCATCCTGGAGGAGGACTACGACGACAGCTACATCCCCAGCGAGCGAGGTAGGCGGGCGGGCGCGCGGGCTCCTCGGGCCAGCCGCGGCCCCGCGGGGTCTCTTCACCGGGTGCGTCTCTCCCGCAGAGATCCAGGAGTTCGCTCGCGTGGTGGGCATCGACCCCGAGCACGAGCCGGAGCTGATGTGGCTGGCCCGGGAGGGCATCGTGGCCCCGCTGCCCGCCGAGTGGAAGCCGTGGTAAGCCTGACCGCCGCTCCCGCTCCTCCTCCCGGGCGCGGTTCTGGGCGGCCCCGAATGTCCCGGGCGGATGCGATGGTGCCGCTCAGCCTAGCTGGAGGTTCAGGGGCGAGGCGAGGCCGGGCGGAGGTACTCCGGTCCCGGGGAAGCGCCGCAACGGCCCAGCCCCCCCCCCCCCCCCCCGGACCTTCATATGTCTTCCTGCCTGGGTGCCAGGTACGACTCGGGCGCCGGTTTCGGGTGCGGTGACGAGGAGAAGGGGGTTTCCGTCAAATTCCATTGGTGGCATAGTTCCTGTCCCGTCCTGCTCTTTTTCTCTCTCCTGGGGGGGGCTCCAGTTTCTCTTGGGCAGGGAGGGGGTCTCCCTGAGCGGTTGCTACTTGCTGTCTCCCTCTCTGTCTGCAGTCAAGATATCACTGGCGATATCTATTACTTCAATTTTGCCAATGGCCAGTCGACCTGGGACCATCCGTGTGATGAGCGCTACCGCCAACTTGTCATCCAGGAAAGGGAAAAAATTCTGGAACATGGAGGTCTTAAAAAAAAAGAGAAAAAGAAGAAAAGGGCAGAAAAGAAAAAGGATAAGAAAGAAAGAGACCCATCGAAGCATCTTGTGGTGAGTACTTGAACAAGCATTTCCGAGAAACAGATAAAACCTTTCTGGTTTCTCATTTTGTTCTTGTTCTTCACCTCCACACCTCCCTCCAAAGACCTGTCTCCCCATGAGATAAAGGATCTGGGCTTTACACCTGACTAGCAGTAGTCAAGACTTTCCCACTTTCAGTTTTGTTTAACCCTTTCCTGACATGGCTGGGAAAAAATTCTTTTTTTAAAAAACTTAAGTAATAACTGGAGAGAACAATATGTTTTGTACAGCTTTTTAAACCATTCCAGAAACGTAGAGGCCGGTTCTAGCCTGGCACTTGCTCTTATTTCATGGGTGTTTCTTTCAGTCTCTGGTGCTGAAAACTTGGCAGGGTTTGCCTTGAATTCTCCCCCCCCCCCCCCAAAAAAAAAAAAAGCTATTGTAACTGTGCATGTCATTCAAACAGCCAATTACCATATCCAAGCTGATATCAAAAGTCTACCAACCATCATGGTGGGTTCCTCTGGCAAGCAAGAGTAAGAAATGCAGGGTTGTTTTTCCTTGCATGGCTCATATAGAAGGAAACTTAGCCTGTTTACAAAATCAGTAACCTGATGGTTTTTGCCTACTTAGGAGATGCAGTCGGAATCAGGGATTCTTCCATCAACGTCCTTTTATCGAGTATCATCTCCTGTCCTGTATTCAGAGCATGGTAGTCCTGACCTAGAGCAACAGGGTAGCCAGGTAACACAGAATGACTTCTTCCTAAAAAACGCCAAGGGAAAGATTTCAGATGCTGGTGATTTGTCCAGGCTGCTATCGAGCCTTGCCCCAGGGAAACTACAACCTCTTCTGCCAGAAAAATCTAACCGGACTCAACAGATCCTTGCAGATGTGGAGAAAATTCTTGGAAGAAATGCATCTTCCAGCCGGTCAGACATTAATCATCAAGCACAACAAGATGCAAATACAGAAATCAAATGTGCAGCTGCTAGTGGTGTTTTATCAGACTTGGAAGCTGAGGATGTAGATAGTATCCACCTCATAAAGCCTTTTTTCCAAACACTGAAGAAACCCTCTCAAACTATAGCAGGTGCTATGACTGTGTTAGCCCTGGGGGGAGTCAAGGAGAAAAAGCTGTTCTTAGAGGGAGAAAAACAAGGTGAAGACCATGGGAAAGGCCATGCGGAGGGAGATGGACTAGTCAGGAAGGAAGACTTCTTGCATAGTGTTGAAAAGGAAATGCAGCTTTCTCCCTCTGCTGCTGCTTTCACATTGATCTCATCTGGGACTTTGGAGGGACAAGGTGACATCCATTATTTTCAAAATGAAATATTAAGGCCTCTGGAGAGAATAAAGGAGAGAAGGGGAAAAAAGAACCCTTCTGAACAATGCCAGGCCACAGAGTCCAGCCCATGGCAGATCGAGACTCTTATTCCTCATTCTCAGCTGCAGGGTTCTGTTGAGCTTGGAGCCAAGACAGGAATTTCGGGGAGTGAAGTGTCATCTCCTACACCAGGTCAACTCACAGAGGGGAAAAAACACGATCCAAAGATAGAATCTGACAGCGGTAATAGCATGAGTGTTGCTAGCAGCCTGTCTGACCACCTTGCTTCTCAGGTCTTGGGTGAAGTAGACAATTTCTCCTGGGATTTACATAGCTCTTGTGAATCTGAACATCCCACAAAGCATCTGCCTTCTCCCCAAAGACCATTTTTGGAAGCTATAAATAGCCAAGCACAGAGCTCCCCAGACAATCAGTCAGCTAGTGAGTGCTATTCCGAGGATCAGAAGTTCTATCAACATGTCCTCCACATGGTGCAGAAATCTAGGAGAACAGAATCCGGCGTACCCAAGTCTCTCAGGGGTCAGAAAGACTGCAGCAAAGGGCTTGATTCTGATCAGACTGTTCATCCTGACGGAGAAGGAACTAGAGAAACGGCAGCAGTAGAAGCAGCAATTCCTGAAGGAGAGAGGTTGAAGCCCCGTGAAGGTCAGGCATGCATCCTCCAAGACAACCAGGCAGGAGAGCAGCTGATGCCCAATATGATTTTGATGGAAGGAACCTGCAGGGTTGGGCTTCCAAAAAACGGAGATTGGATTGAAGAGGTAGGCAATTGGCATTTATAATCTGTCTTTTCTCTGAGAAGACAGATTTCCCCCCACTGTAAACTATTGCATGACACCAATATTCTGATGGCTGGTTAGACCAAGAATGAGTAACTGGTGTAAGGTTCGGATTTGAACTCCAGCTTCCTACTTATTGACTGGCCCCTGAACTGGGAAGAGAGAATAGGAATATCCCCTATTAGATAGTACTAAGAAAGGAAATGTTTATATTGTTAACTGGTTCAGAGATTATCTGGGCTTAAAAGTGAGCAGCAAAGTGTTTCAATAATTCCAAAAGGACCCACTTAAGCTTGGGGAACAGCTATTAAAACAGTACATTTCTTTTAATGTATGCAAGTACAAAGTGATGCCTGGTGGGAGAAAGATCTATCCTGATTGCATACACAGTAAATAGTGGGCAACCAGAGAAAGGATCTCAGGATCCTTTTGGGTAGCTTGGTGAAAATACTGATACATTATGAAGCTGAAAAAAGATTTCATATAAAATGATTGTAATCGCTACTTTGTCCTTTACATTTTAATATTATATTTGGTGGTGTGACTGGAACTTCAAAATAGAGTAAAATTGGCAAAGGTGTAAAATACTAGACAATTGGCAATTGGCAATTAAAATACTAGACAAGATTGGAGAGATGGTCGAGATATATATAGTGTGAATAAAGGTGAGAGAAGACTTGTTTCCTCTCTTGAAATATATAACGCTACAATGGTCCTGCTGCATTGTGTCAAAGGCAGCAATATTCCAACACTCACAATGCCCATCCGGATGTTCTCTTTTGCCTCCTTTGGTCCAGGCTTTTCAAGAGAGCCTTGTGTCCTGATTATGTGACATTGTGGCTGTTTCAACCAGTGCTCTTCACAGCTCCCTAAAAACAAATGGGAGAAACTCTGTAGGACTAGCATGCTGTCTTGAACAATCGCAAGGCACCTGACTGCAGGTTGGACTGGCCTTGTGGCTCCTTTTTCCATCTTAATGCACTGATATTTTGATTGGTTTCCCTTTGGTAGGCCAACAGCTGCATAAAAAATACTTTAAAATCAAAAAATGAGGAGGAAAAGGAAGCTTGTTTGCCTCACTTGATATCCGATGTGACAGAGAAGAAAGAAGTCAGTGAGGTAGTATTTTTTTTCCCATCAAACACGTCTGCTATACCTCTGAAGGGAACGTGGTTTTTTTCATAATGTATCCCAGAAGGATCTTTGAAAAAGCCTTTCCCGGCATTGCCTCTGTGAGCCTGGGAAATCTGCTCCCAGATGGCAAGGGAGGGTGATGCGTTCCTGTAAAAGAAACAGGGCAAGAGTGCATTTAATGCTACGGGGGACACTTTCTGATCTGTCCTAAATGTGTTTTATGTGGTTCAACAACTATATAGTTATTGTGAAATGCAGTAGTTGCCTGGTTTTCACGATGGGCCCTTTGTAGACCAGGTAACAAAACCCTAGTCACTGTGCTGCTTAAGAGAAGGTTTCCAAACCCAATTCAAACTGCTCATCGTTGTCTTTAAAACGTAACTGGTATAGCACCAGGAAGCCCCAAGCAGCACCTTGACAGAACTGAATTGGCCCATCCAGGCAGCTCATCCACATCCTAATCCTCAGGAAAGTTTGACTAAAGTTAATGAGGGGGGAATTAATAAAGTTAGGAGGAACCCTGAGCAACTGATCAGTTGGAAAACCCTTCTGTCTTTTAAAATGCAGTTTGAGAACAGTGTCTGTAACTTGAGGAGCTGTATGTTTTTCTGAATGCGTTCCAGTAGAGGATGAAAGCCATTGGGTAGGGAGGCTTTCGCTTGGTTTCCTTTTGTCTATGATTCTGTGCTCAAAGCTAGTTCTTCACTGAGCTGCTTTTTTATCCCAAGTTGTTACCTTGAAATGGCATCTTTGAACTGAGGACTCACTTGTTCCTGAACAATCTATTTAGGAATGTAGTCCTTTTAGAAATATCCCAGGTCGTCTAGAGCCCATAGTTTGTTTTCCTGTATGCTTTTCGGCAACCTTATGTTGGTTTTAGGTTTTGTAATGGTCTCTAGGATAGTTTTCCTTTTCCACACACATGCTTTTTTTGTCTTTGGTTTCCAGAATCTTATTCTAGAAAAAGTCTTGGACGTGGCTGAAATACCTCCAGTCCTAAACAGTCCAAAATTTGGGGTGAACCGAGCCACCACTGAAAGCACTTTGAAAGAGGAAGTAAGTTGCTGGATTTTTTTTTTAACCAGTTAGTAATCCATCAAAAAACAGCTTTTCATATCGAGGACAAGAAATTTACCCAAGTCCCTTTGATAAGTGACTTTTTTTTCAAAGTTCGTGTATATGACATCACAGAACTACTTCAATTCACATGTTTGTTGACACCTCGGAAACTTTGGCTATTTCTTGAGGCAATATTTGCAGAGGAATATAGAGAGAGAGCTTGAAGTAGGGATGCAACAACAATTATGGAAATATCAACTTTGCCCCGCAGACAGGAGGGGATAAGGAAGAAATTCAAGACTGCCCCACCTTGACTCTCTTGGGCATCGAGGGAGGGAAAAAGAAACTTGGTCAGACTTTCAAATTCTGATATTATATCCTCTAACAATAAAATAGGATGCCAGGAACTCTCTAGTGTAAGTTTCAGACATGGCCTACCTCAAAGGGCAGTCAGGACTTATTTCTGTGGAATCCATACAGATTTTATTTCCACCAGGCTTCTTCGTTATGCTTTTTTGTTTCTGCCAATTTCTCAAGAGTAGACATTAAACTAATTTTCTGCATCTTCTTGTGTCCTTTCTTAAAAATCAATGCTACATTTGCTACCTTCCAGCACTGTGCCCAATTTGAGGATTACATGCTTTTTCTAGGAAGTCAGCAAGTCTGCAGTTGAACTATTTTAAGATCTGTTGGGTAGATGCCATGAGGACTCAATTATTTGTTATTTGTAATATCTTCAAATAATCTAGAGCAGGGGTGTCAAACTCAAGGCCCGCAGGCTGAATCTGGCCCATGGGACCGCCCTGAAAACAGTGAAGGACTGGCCCTGGGCTGCAGGCGACCCTCTGGAGCTCCATTTTCCCTGGCAGAGGATTGCAGGAGGTCATCGCAGCTGAAAATGGAGCTTGTGTGGGACACACGCAGTCCTCTTGAGCTCAGTTTTCTCTGGCAGACGGTTGCAGGAGGCCATCCAAGCCAAAAATGGAGCTCGTGTGGGCCGTGCGCATTCCTCCCGAGCTCCGACAAAGTTACAGTCATACAGTCGCAAGTGGGAGAGGATGGGTGATAAGGAGTGATGAGAAGATTAATAGTAACAGTAATGCAGATTTTGTAAATAATTGGATAGTGTTGAGGGAATTATTTGAGGCCATCACAGCCAAAAACAGAGCTTGTGAGGGCCATGTGCAATCCTCCTGAGCTCCGTTTTCGCTGGCAGAGGGTTGCAGGAGGCCATCGCAACCAAAAACAGAGCTCGGGAGCCCGTTTTCGCTGGCAGAGCATTTGGGCCACCATACCAGCACTCGGGCCCCCGACATGAGTGATGTTGAGCTAGCCACGCCTACCCTGGCCATGGCAACCCTGCCCCCCCCCCCGAGATCAAACACAACCCCGATGCAGCCCTCAATGAATTTGAGCTTGACACCCCTGATTTAGAGTATCTTGTCATCTCAATTTGCTCAACAGTTCTGGTTCTTCCCTGTGAAAGTCAATCCAAGATATCCACTCAATAGCAAAGAGAGACAGAAAACCTAACTGGATTTCTTACTAATCTCTATAGTGCCCCTGAATATTCCTTTTCCTCCTTCATCATCTAAGATCCAACTGCAGTTTCCTGCTTTAAATATATATTTAAAAGTTTAATGTTTAACATTTCTTCCTATGTGCACTCCTGAAATTCTTTTTGCATGTCATACACTTTTTATGCTCCTTTTTGTTCTCCTAAGGGCAAACTTTCTTAAAAGAACCCTTCTGAAGTTTTAAAGCTTCCTGAATATGACTAAAGAGTCGTGCTGGCCTCTTCTGGGCTTAGCATTCTTGCTGAACCTTGGTTATTGTACTTTTAAATATCCTCCAGGCTTTATTGAGTGATTTGGTCCTCTTGATTTTTTCTTTCAGTCTTTTCCATCAGTTCCTTTATTTTTCATTTGCTTTTGTAGTAGTGTGAAATATTTCAAACTCCTTTCGATTTTTCAGACACATAACTGTGTTACAATAACTGTTTTTTGTTGGTTCCACAGTAGGTAAAATCTTGCATCAGATCATGATATCACAAATCTAGAAATCTCTTGTCCAGATTGGATCTGTGATATTCATCACCTTTTCAATGAAATGCAGAGCTGTGGCAAAGCTTCCATCTTTCCTTTCTCTTGCAGGACAAAAATTGGCTGGCACAGGAGAAAAATGAGGACAAAGACAGCTTGGAAGAGGAGCACAATAGTGGATCTGCTGTGGCAGAAGAGAGGTATAGAAGCCCAAATCCTTTGCAAAAAGCATGATCGTTGCACAGCCGTCTCCCGAGACCTGACTTTCTGCAGGCTTGCTTCGTTTAATTCCACTCTGTCCCCACTTGTTTCTTCCGCCCTCCTTGTGGCAGCACTGCCTGCAACTTGGAGCCACTTATTTGGCTGGGGTGGAGAGTTAGCCGTTTTTCATAGTCTGGGATGATGGATTTAAAGGCCAGCAACATTGTCTTGGGCTGCTGGAAGCCCCAAATCTAACCAGGTCTCTTAAGAGAGTCCTGTCCCTGAAAATAACAGCAGCTTCTGAAGCACATTGGTTTTCACCAACGCATGTAAGCGTAGAACAGAGACTGTAGCAACGTTGTGCATTTTATTTATTTAACGATTCTTTCATCATTAAATACCGATTCTTTCATCTTGCATCTCACTAATTTATAGTGTGGGGAGGAAGCTTAAAACCAAATATGGATAAATAAAATTTAAAGAATTATTAAAAGTTTGCTCAAAAACATGCATGTTAAACATTTTTTAAAAATTCTAATAAAGCAGGTAGGTTCCTTCGTCTTAACAAGGAGGTCGCATCAGAGACCAGGAGGAATTGCTGAAAAGGCTTAATTCTTGAATCCCTGCATAACAAGCTGTGGTATCTATAGGAATAGCTTTTTTAAATCAACTCAGTGATTAGGATGAAATGTGAATTACTCTAGAAAAAAAATTAACTTGAATGCCTTTAAGGGACTTAAGGGTAATAACCAGTACCTGGAAATTCTCCCAGAATAATATTTTAGTATAAATGAAATACACCTTCTTTTGACTATTTCCAGAGACCAGTCGGCTGCTGAATTCTGCAGTAAATAAATTTTCTACACTAGTTGCAAAGGCATTCCCACAAATAGCGATTCTGATGCTTCTAAGATATATCTGTAAACTTTGAACAAGCCAGGAAAACAAAATGAACATATTAACAAAAAGCCATTTATATTGTATGAGGTTAGCCCTTCCCCCCCATGTTGGTATCCAGAATCCAGATGATTAGGAAAATTAAAACTATACAAGATGCATTGCATTTAAAGGTGTTCAGACCATTCATAGAATGTGGTACTGTTATTTGATTCTGATATTAAACGGTAAACCTCCTCAGTATTTTGTAAGGAGTGTGTTCCAAGCACTCTTCTCCTTTTCTGAAAGTATGTATACAACTAAGCATCTAGGGAAATTCCCTTCCTCAACTCTGCCCTAGGGATTTTACCCTGCTGCAACCTTAATGGGGAAGGTTACAGCCAACTGAAGATGGTGTTTGATTTCATTGTACGAGGTGCAATGACAATAAAGTTAAGTAAGTAAGTGTGCAGTTAACAGTTCAATGTTATACTGAGCTGAACAATTGATTAAAGAGTGCTTTCTTATCCCTTTGCATATTTTGATCCTCTGGGTTTCTTCCTGTTTGAGAAGCTCATTGGCTGCAGATGAAAGAAGTGATATTACTGCAAGTAATAAAAGTATAAGATGAAAGCACGTCAGATTGAAATGATTGTTCAGGCATCTTGGTGTATGCTGGAAGCAACCTGAGGATATCAAAATTGAATGAATTGGCATTTGCTTTGCTGAGTGATGAAGAATTGTCCTAAATAGGCTTCCGTTTGCTCATAGGTCTTTTTTCTGTATCAGGTCTTTTTAGGCTTCTGTATTCTACCCTGGTCCATTTCAAGTAATAATTGGTGTGAACTTGTTTCTCTTAATAGCAGGCAGTTTGAGACTGAAATCGACCCAATAAAGCCATGGAATGTCCATACTGGAGGGTCACTGAAGGAAATAACCAAAGTGGAAGAAACAAACGTTTATTTGCTGGAAGAAAAACAGATACATGTTCAGAATTTGCAGGAAGAACTGCAACAGGGAGAGGAAGAAGAGATCCAGATGTTACATCAACAGCAAGAGTCTGCCCTTTGGTGAGTTTCTTTGAATCTATACTATGGATACTTGGTTTTCTTCTCCCACCCCGCCCAAATAAATGCCAGTAGTACTTATCTTCAGTCACATAGATTAAGTCCAAAGTCTTGGTGTTTTTAAATTCTTTCCCAGAAGGAGGCAAGGACTACTTGTTGCAACATTGAGATCCCAAATCCCAACAGAAAATGTCAAAGAAGCTACTTAATGAGAAACTTTTAGGAAAAGCTCATCCATTAAAAGAATAATTGACTGCCTTTATGTAACTTATCTGTTCGATACAGACCACAGCTATTTGACACTTCCCCTGGGCTACTCATGACTTGTGGATTTGATTGGTACTGATTTGTCCTCTGTGTAGGACTCTGGTGTATATCAGCATTTAATTCTTGCATTGCCTGATGTTTTGGTTGTTTGTCTCCCATTTCCCCCCTATTCCTGCAGTGAGGTTGTATGCATCTTTTCTCTCTTAACCAGAATAACTTACGAAGTAGTAAGTTTTGAACATGACTCTGCTTTTACTTGTGAGAGTCATGACAGTTGTCTTTCCTATTACGTTATGTCCTGCTTTTCTTCTCGGAGCTGAATGGGCCATACGTAGGGATTTTCCTTTATTTTATTCCCCTGAAAGCAGCCCAGGGAGCTGCAGGGGAGCTGCAGTGAAATCACTGAGTGATCTCTGTGGACCTGTGAAGAATCTCCTTCTGCTGGGTTTCAGTCTAATACTTTTAGTGCTCTACTACATGGACTCTCAGTTACCAGTGGTTAAAATATAGAGTGTCAGGACTGGAAAGGATTAAACATCTGATCCAATCCTTTGCATAGTTCAGAAATTCATTCCTTCAGCATCCTTGACAGATTGTCACATAGCCTCCTCTGTTTAAAGGCTTCTAGTAAAGATTCCACCTCTTCCCAAAGGCAACCTGTTTTCTCTCCCATTTTTCTGATGTCCAACTAAACCTTATTCCATTGTTTTTCATTCCATCTTTTGGAACTTTGAACAATTCTGCCTGTCTTCTATATCAGCTCTTCACAGTTTTCTCTTCTCCATGGTAAACATCCAGCACCTCTGTCCCTCAAACCTTTTTTCTTTCCCAGTACTTTAATCACCTTGGTTGCGTACCTCTCAATTCATTCCAGGAGATCAATATCCCAGAGTTTTCCTTGAAACATGCTGACTGAAACTAGACTCATATTGTAGGTGCAGTCTGATCAATGCACAGTCACTGCCCTGTGGTCAGTCAATGACCGCACAGGCCAGGCATATATCCTCTGAAGGAAACAGCCTCTAAGACAACTGGAATCAGGCCCTCTAAGGATTTATAGGTTAAAAGTAGCATTTGAAATTGCATTCAGAAACTGATTGGTAACAAACTGTTTTCAAGAAATGTTGCCAAGGCTGATCCCAAAATACATGCAAGATGGACTTTTAAAAATCTTTCTCTAGAGCCATATTGACTTTATTCATTCATGTATCTTCCTTAGTTAGAAATCACGCAGTTGGCTTTTGCTTTAAATTGCTGAAGGTTTCTGCAGACTTTAGTGGTGGTGTTCCTTTTGTTTTAGGAGCTACCCCAATTCACTATTTGCTTATCTATTAGGTCATTGAAAACTGAGTTGGAGACAACTAGGCAGGAAGAAGAGATACGCTTGAGGGAAGAGATCAAAGTGGAACTTCAAAAATTCCACACTGAGATGCATTCTGAGATGGAGGCAGGGAAGGAGAAGATCAGGTACCAGATTGCATTTAAGTCTGCTTATTGTCCTCTTCAGGGGAAGACGCGATGACGGTTGCAGGACTGGAGTCAGCCTTATGTCTAGATTAGCACTGCTGAAGTGTGCATTCTCCGTAGTTTGAAACATTTGTGGATGGGAAGGTCCCTGTCTCATGGGTGAGACTGCTTTTTATGTCAGATAAAAGCATTTGGACTTATGGGTAAGATAGGATTGATCTTACAGTTTCATCTCACTTAAGCAGCAAACTTCAACAATTACATATTTCTTTAAATTATACATATGGACATGGACTTCATGCCGTTATACTCTTTATACCCTAAGGACTTTAGTGCCTAATGAAAGGCTGTGAGAGTTGGGGCTATACAGAACTCTGGAAGGATGTTGTTCCACAGGCAAGCGCTGCAAGAAAGAAGGCAAGACTCCAGGTCCAGCAAAATAGATAGAAGGGACTCTTTGATAGAAGGGACCCAAAGCAACGCTCTCTGGTAGGGCAAGCAGGAACAGTCTGGCAGTTCCACAGATACCTTGGCCCTAGCCTAGGTAGGACTGTGTAGGTGATGACTGGCACCTTGAATTGCAACCTGCTGACAGATAAAGAGCTGAGCAAAGCAGGGTGTCAGCCTTTCACCGCCAACTGCTAGTCATCCTTGGTCTCTGGGCTTGCATTCTGTGCACATCTTCCTCTACTAGTTGATGCTGGAGGTTTCTTGCAAAACTCAGCGGATAAATTGTGAGTCTCTGTCCCTGAAAATCTGTACAACTGGAAGAGCTCATAGCTGTACATGACTTGGTCCCAGAGGTCTGTTATAAAATCCCCTCCCCTCTACAGAAGCTATTGCTCTACTGGCAGATCTCCCACCATCACCAAGAAGAAGAAAAATAATTTTGCTAAAAACTTTGGCAGCTTTGCATGCTATTTTCTGGTGACAGAATTCTCGATTCTCTGCCCTTGAATTCCAATTTGGGGTTTCCTTGGCCATATGATCACCCTGGTCAAAATGCTGATGCAAAGGGGGACTTCTGGGGGCAAGGCATCCCAAGGAGTTCAGCTTGCTGCCTGCAAGGGCTCTCTGGACAAAGCTAGAAAAGTCTTCTTGCTATCTCTCGGTCACTTCCTTTCAGGCTGGCACAAGAAGCTGCACTGAACCAGCTGAAAGAGGAGCTAGAATCCTTTCAGCAACAGGAGAGAGAAAAGCTCAAAAAGCAGAAGTGGCTTTTTCTGGAACGGATAAAAAAAGAGGCTGAAATGGCAGAGCAGGCTGAACTGGTGGCACTGGAGCAGGAGAACCAGAGGGCCCTGAATGAACTGAGGGAGAAGCTGTGCAGAGAAAAGGAACTGGTGAGTATGCCCCACTTCACCCCTCCCAGGGGCTGGGAAATCAGAAGATTAGAGCTGCCTGGCAACAGTGCTCCAATGGGACGCGTGGACCCTGTGAAAATTACAGGCGTACTGGATCTCAAAAGGGGGAATCATTCTTAGGAAATATGTCCGTGAAAAAATTAACTCAATGAACTGATACTCATCCTGGTCAAACTCCTTCAGAATGTTTAGCAAGGATAGAAAAGCAGTCTCTTACAGTATGAGAAGGTTGGTAACAATGGACATTTCCATGTTCAGGTGTTGACATCAATGATGGAATTGCTGCATGATATTGGGCGAGTTCTGTCTAGTTCTGGTCTTACCATTATTGCAAAAAGCATTTGGCTGCCAGTGCAAAACCAGTTTTCCATCCCTGTTTGTAACTAGTAAAGAAAATTAAGGAACATATTCTACAGGCAGATTAGGACACAAGTCAGGAAGAAATTTGGGGACCACTGGTCATAGAAGACAACTGTTTGTGGATATAGATAAGGAATATTTGCCAATCTTCTAATTTGGAAGCTATAAATTGATTTCTTTACAAGCTATCTTCTTGATCCTTTGGCAGGCTCTGCAGGAACTACAGGTGCAGCTGGCAGCAGATATCCAGCAACAGAAAACTGCAACAGCAGAAGAGCACCAGAAGGTAAGGCATCCATGTCAAAAGGGATGGAGCAAACCTTGCCCTTGTTCTTGCAGCTGCATTGGGGTCTCCACTTTTCATCCCAGTTTCACAAGCTGCATAGGTACATCCTGCATACTGTCTGCCATGCATTACCTCATCTGTGAATTTTTAACACCTGTAGAACAGTTTTGAGGCCGAGACCACTGACTGCTGTCCCTCAGATTTTCCTTATTTGATGGCTGTGTTTTTTGGTGGTTTTTTGTTATTGTTGTTTTTCCTATAACTTATTTTCTGAGGTGCTGGCAACTGTACTTCTCTTCCCCCCTTAATTTGTACGTTTATACCGTGTCTCTTATGTCAGCCTAGTATTAGGGGTGTCAGGAGGACTGTGGGATTCTTAGGAATTCTTGTCAAGCAGATCAGTTCTTTTTTTTTAATCCTAATATCTCAAGATAGAATATGGATTTCCCTGAGCATAGTCTTTTTAGCCAGAAATTGCAAGGAAGCCACTCTTAAAACTTGAGAGCACTGTTGATGACAGAGGGAGACACTGGGCAAACTCTTATGGAGCTTTGTAAGTTCCTCATGCAGGCACAAAGGCTTACTGGTGACTTAAATACTTAATGAAGTATAGTTAGCTTAAGAAAAACAACTGGTCTTTCCCACCAGCTAGGGAAAAATCCTCCAGTGGGTTGTACACCAACACATTGGCTAGAGATCCCTGAAGGCTCCTGCTTTATCTCCTGGCCAGGTTATTCTGACCCTCCGGATGGAAATAATGGAGGCTCAGAGAAGAGAGAAAGAAGAACTTCAGAAGGAGCTCGAGAGTGTGGAGCAAAACGTTCAGCAAAAGAGACATCAAGTAGCAGAGTATGAGCGAGAGGTAAGGAGTAAACGCCACACTTCTTACAAGGTGCTCTCTAATAGGCAGGATCAAGTCTGCACTGACAGAGGATCTGTTTCTTAGTCAGACTGTTATGCTTCCCTCTCAGTGCATTTATTTATTTATTTATTTGTTTATTTGTTTATTTATTTATTAATTAAATTTATCGGCCACCCAACTTGCCACAGGGTAACTCAGGGAGGTTTACAGTCCTGAAGAAAGGAATTTATACATGTACATTAAAGCATAAACAAACTAAAATCAAACATTACAACCTAAGGGCAGGGACGTAGGGCAGGGACAGAGCAGAGAGAGGTGGGATTGTTGTTAATCAGTCTGGGAAGTAAGAAATTATGAATTGGCTCAGGCATCCCCTCCCCGATTCCCTGGAGTATAGGAAGGAGCATATATCACAGATTTGCAAGGTTATGATAGCCAATCTCAACCTAGCGCCATTCTGGTCATCCTGTAGAGCTGATTTTCTGTTCTAGCATACCTGGTAGGTAGCACCCAGAAGGCCCCAGGTTCTTTCTTGAAGAGGTGGGTGGAGGCGGGTGGTCCTTTATAGTTATAATGACAGCCATTTAGACTCGCACGACACCTGTGCCAGTCACAATAGCTCACGTGTGGTGTGCTATTCCTTGACTGCAGTTTTGGATCATTTTTTTGTTGTAATTGTGTGATGATGGTGGGAATAACATCAGTTTAATCTGGATGCCTTTAACCCAACTGTAGCTCAGTGATCTTTTGAAAGAGAAGCGTCAAGAGGTTGAGCAAGAACATGCTAGAGAGATGGAAAAAATGAAAAAGATACACCAGGAGACTCTAGCTAGGATTCAGATGCAACACGAGGACAAGGTAAGGTTACTAATAAGCTGGATCCCCAGAAAAAGTTCCAGTAGGCTTATAGCTATTTTACTCACAGCATCCAAGGAAGAGATGGAGCTAGTTTAAAAACATGTTTATATATTTACCTGACTATCAGACTTTTATGCCACTGAATTATATTAAAGATTCTTAGTTGTTAACAATAGAGCATCCAAAATAACAGAACTCATGGGGCTCAGCTGCCCATGAAAAGGACATTTCTAGTAGACCCTGGCAGTCCTTCCTCAAGAGCTTGACTCTCTAATTGTAACTCCTACCTTCTTGGACCTCCTCTTGAATTTCCCATGGCTCCAAGGAAAGGGTTCTCTTGTTCCTCTGGCACCTTAGTTGTTCTTCTTTTGTCATTCCTTGTGACGTAGGCATCCTCATTGCCTGGGTCTTGGCAAGGAGATTGCATCTCTTCTGGCTTTCTTCCTACAGGAGAAGAAGGCCCAGGATGCAGAACTGGAGCTGGAGCTCCGAGCTAAAGATGCCCAGACAAAAGCAGCTCAATTCTGTGCCCAGGTGAGCACACACATGCACAACTGTGTAGCCCATCACACCAGTGGGGGAGACTACAGCTTGGCCCCTCAGACTGTTAGTTAACGCATAACACAGATCTCCATGTGTATCTTTTGGGAGGACTGGATGAGTTCTTTCCGGAAAACTTCCATTATCTGAATGCCTTTTCCACTATTTTCTGCTGGCTTACCGGTTTCTCCTCTAGAGGAAGAACATTGGCACAGCTTTGATGTAGAATTTCCTGCATAGAGCTGAGCTGAAACTTAAGAAGCTCTTGATCTTTATAAGATTTTACTGTATTCAGTTTTTGGCGCCCTAAATTGTCCAAGGTGCACTTCTGGCCAATCTGTGCTCTGGAACGTATCTGGAGGGCTGGTGGCGAGTCCACTTTCTTAGCCCCTATAAATCTTTGTCCCGAGGGAGGAATTTTGTGGTCTTCCCAGATTACTCAGATGATTTCTCATTTGTGTGCAGGAGGAGGTCTGGAAGAAGAAAAGGCAGCAGGTCCTAGAAGAAGAGAAGCAGCTTGAAGAAGAAAGAAATGTATGCATTGGCAGTTCTCGCAATGAGCTAGGAATCTCTTTTTCCTTAGGATGACATAAGGGAAGTCTCCGCAGTTGATGTCAATGGCAGGAGGGAGGGAGGGAGGGAAAAGGAGAGGCAGGAGTAGTACAGTTCTAGGTACAGGTTTCCATCTTTTGGCTCTCAGCTGGTCTTCTTTAGCTGAGGGCTGCCTTAACACTGAGAATTAGGAGATTGTGTTGTTCTCTGGTAGTAGCTTTCTAAAGTTGTAGGGAGGAAGTTTTGTCCAGAGAAGTCAACACATTTTTTGGCCTGGAGCTCTTAGCATGCAACTCACACAGTCGGGACCCATTTCTCTAGATGTGAGTGGGAAGGCAGCTGTAGAATAGAAACAAGCTGGCAGGATGAGTTTCTGCAGTTGAGTATCTGCTCATCTTTATCTGTGGCCAAGGATGCACTAACCTTAGCCAAAAAACTTTACATGTCAGTTGGATATTTAAAGTTGCATCTTGTAGACTCTCCCTCTCCCCACCCCACCCCCCTTGGTTTTTTTTTCAGAAAGCTGCTTTAGCAGCTCGTTCCCGCCTTGAGGAATCTCAAAAAGGACAAGAGAATCTTGAAGATACCTTACAGCAGCTGCACAGTGCTCTGGCAGAACTCCAGGATCAGAAAATAAAGTTGGAGTCTCAGGTGGAATTGCTACAGATACAGCACCAACAGTTGGAGAGGCATACCAGGTGAGATTTGTTCTTCACTAGACAAGCAGGATTGGATCAGGCTTTATGTGGTAATAAGCCACGTGACACATACGTATAGAGCTATGCCGCCAACTGGTGGAGAATGTTCTCAGGACCTAGGAAGAATGGGAAGCTACTTGGCTCACTGACCTGGAGGTGCCCACTATGTTTTAGGCCCATTTGCCACCATGCTTGAATTCAGCAATGTTTCCCAATGTTCACTTTCCAAATGTTGAACAAGAATTGGCCACTTCTGAAGAACGGTCCAGAAGTACAGATGTAGATCCTGGGCGGCAACTGACTTATTCCTTGGCACTTTCAGTGAGTTGGAAGAGACCATCAGGACTAAGCAAGAGCAGCTAAAGAAACTGAATAAAGAATGGAGTGAAGCAACTTCTCCAAGGGAAAAGGAAGAAGCGCTCCGAGTGGAAGACCTACAAGGGGACTGTCCAGAGGTCAGTGAAAGTAGGGTCAGAGATGAAGGAACCAGACAGAAGGGGAATAGTCTGCTCCATAAAATGAACTTTCAGTGGCACAGATCAGCCTGGACTTTACAGTGAGACTATAGCTCAAGAAAAACAATATATCATAGCATGTCATTCAAATAGTTTTTTGGCAGCATTCTTACAAAATGCCTTCAACGTGCATGAATTTTTACAATTCTGCCTATAAAAGGACAGAGCCAATATTGAATGGATGGTGAGGAATGGGAAAGACAAAACCTTTTTTGAGGGATGCCACACTAACGACTAACTGAGATGAGATTCCCACAGTCACTTCCTCCACCATCTTGAAGTTGGGAGGGGTCTGTGTGTTCAAATATGGCTTGAACTGCAAGGTATAACTTAAGAGTGTCTGGGGAGGCTGAAATTTGGGAAGGGCCTGGTGTGTAGGGGCTGGAGTACCTCAAAAAGCACGCTTTATTAAAAATGTGTGGGATTTCCCCTTGGCTCTATGATGACTGAATGTGAAAACACACCCTCTGCTGCTGAGAAGGGAGGCCTTTGCTGCTGCCATCCGGGGGAGAGAAACCAGTGTCTGATTCCATACAGACAGGATATTTCAGGTGTAGGTATACCAGTAAGCAGGAAGAAGGTCCTCTGGCCCAGAAGAGATGGGAAATAATATTGCCTACCTAATATTCCACTGCTTTGATTTAAGCTCCCTCCATTAAGGAAATACACCCTGTATTTGTTCTTGATGTTTCTGCTTCATTTGCCTGTTACTTAACTTTAAAAATGGTTTAATCCTAAAGCCCTCCTCCAGAGAAATGACATCTGAAATACCAAAAAGCAATGAAGAAAACAGCCTTCTCCTGAACCAGTAAGTGAAAAAAAAGTTACCAGCACCCAGAAATAATTATACGTGTAGTGTGACTCTACAGGCTTTGGAAGTTGGTAGGGACAGGACTGAGGGGAGTGGCTACTTGGCCTCTTTATAAGCTCAGATATTTTCCCCTTCCTGTCCTTACAGAGTACGGCACTACATTTCCTCTGAGGGAGCTTCCCTGAAGACAGCGAAGGAATTCTTGGTGCGCCAGACTCGTTCCATGAGAAAAAGGCGAACGGCCTTGAGAGCAGCAAAGCAGCACTGGTATGGTGGTCTACAGGGAACACCAACTGTGCAAGACTCAGGCCATTCTCAGGTGTTAGAGGGAGTGCGCAGGAACCTGGAAGAGGTGAGTGGTGAGCTACACAAAGCAAGGCAGTTCTTGAAACTATCAGCCTGAGGTGAACTTTAGAATAACTCGTCCAGGCGGTACTAACTTGGTTTGTTGTCTTGAGGAAGAGGGGGAAGGGGGAGATAGCTGTAGAAAGCTTCCTTTGGGGTTGAGAATACCAATACCAAGGAAGGGGAAACCATCTGGCTTGCTTTGGATTGTGCCTTACTGCAGTTTGGCAGCTGGACAAGTGGCCGTGCAGCGAGGAAGGGCTGCCCCTTCTGCCTTTGCAATAAGTCACACTGCGAGCCACTTCCAGAAGATTGAGCAGCAGGCCCCCGTCCCTCTCCCGCAACACTTGCATCCCTGCAAGCAGCAGCTCACAGATGAGGAGACACTGTTATCAAGAGGACTTTAAAGTCAGATAACAATGGCAGCAATATTTAAATCAGTCCTAACAAAAGTTCCTTGACTTTCTTTCCCCCTAGGAAGGAAGGCAGCTGGATGAAATGAAATCTGCCATGCGGAAAGGGCAGGAACTGCTGAAGAAGAAAGAAGAGAGGCTCAGCCAGCTGGAATCCTCTCTTCTGGAAGAGGTAGCTTTGTCAGAGCCAGCAAGGAAGCATCCTAAGTCTTCCTCAGTGCCATTGCAGCTGCCTATCCCTCTGGGACAATAAGAGATGGTCTCTCTTATTTACCTCTTCACATCCCAGGGTGTGGGGAGGCCTCATTTTTAGTTGTTGTTGCCATGTAATCAGCCAGGAAATTGACTTATCATTTTGCCTATTCAAAATCGTTTGAGATCTAACCATGAGGTGTGCTTTTAGAAGATGGTGCTGGACAAGGTGGCTGGAGTGCTTCAGTCACTGGCTCTGCCAGTAACCCGCAACCCAATTGGGGATCGTGCGAATTGTGAACACCTGGTTCAATTGCTGGTTTTGGCCTAGCCAAAGAAACTAAGCAAGCTCGCCTGGCCCTGCCTGGTGACAAGTGGCTGCTTATTTTTTTATCCTGAGTTATTGAGGCACAACAGCAAGGAAAACCCCTTCTTCTTTACTAGTTTTCTGATGAAGATACCATCAAGGGAGTGGCCTGCAAGAAAATGGTGACTTTTGACCTCAGTGACTCTGAAGACACAAGTAGCCTTACGAGTGCTGATCAGTCTCTTCACAAAAGTAAGTGTTGGGATGAATGCTAAGACCAGCATCCTACAACCTACAATCTGTGAGTTTACACTCATTTTTGGGAACCCGGTGGATAGCCTTTCATTCCCATTGAAGCACTGCTAGTCTGCAGCTGCTGAGAATTCTGGCCACCCAGTTGGAAAGCTGGAGACTGGTGGTCTGGGATACACTGTATCCAGAGTTCCACTTTTCCCACTTGCCAAAAAGATTTGGCATGTGTCAGGATTGGTGTTTCCTTACACAAGTGCTGCTATAGAATACATTTCTAAACTTACACACCCCTTTACTGTAATCTTAATATACATTCCTTCTTTAAAAGTCCAAACTGAATACAAATGAACAATGAAAACAATGCGGTGAAACTTTGAGAAAGGTGGATCTATTGTAACAAGGCAACCAAAAGGCTCTTCATCCCTCCCTCCCTCTCTCCCTCTCTCTCTGTACCTGCCTAACCTTAACTGGGAAATCCTGCCATAGAAGCCCAGTCATTTATCTGTCATCTCCCTCACGGAGTTGCAGGAGAAGCTCCCCCCAAAATCTCCCCCTAAGAGCCATTTTTCCTTGATGGATTTGATGAGGTCTTTTCTCCTGTAATTTTTGTGCAATGGATGAATAGCTGGATTAAATTGGTCTGAATAGCTAACTTTGATATTCTAGAAAGCTACTGCCCCCCCCCCCCCAAAAAAAAAAATACAGGAAGGTTTTAATTCTGAATTGTGGCTGGGTTTTAGTTTTCTGGGTTTAGATCTTTACTACCTCTATATTCTTTGTCTAGTAAATAATCAATACTTCTTTCCCTCCATCCCCTCCTTTTCACAGTAGCTGACTTGAAACCGGATGTCCAGTTTTCTCCCTTTGACAAGATCCAGTATTTGGCTGAGTCACTACAACACATCACCAGTGACCTGAACTGTGTCCTTCGTCTCCTGAGTACCTTCAGCAGCCAGCAGCCTCTCTTTGCTTCCACCCAAGGCCAGTCACTGGCTCCACTGGCCAGGGATGGAATTCCCCTGACTGCTTATACCTCCATGGCACGTGCCTATTCGGCTACACCATTTGCACCTTCTGCTGGACTTCAGTCAGTCTGGTGTAATTCTGGTCCCGGTTCTGCAGCTGTGAGCGGACAGTCTGTGGACAGTATGTTGATGGAGAAATGGCGCAAGTATTTCCCAGGTAAGAATGGATTCTTGAGCTGTTTCTTTCTTTTGTCCGAAAGCCCAATCTGGCATTGAATCACTGAGTCACCAACTTGTTTTGGGGAAAGAGTTTTGATGCCAGTTGAACTCTAATCCTGGTTGAAGGGCTCAGGGTTTCAGCTGAAAGGACCAGCAGAGCTTGTTTTTCTCCCTTCTTTCCCACTTTCCCTCACCAAAGATGAGGCATGATTGGTAGATTCCGGAAGTAGGGTTTGGATGATTGAGAGTCGGCGTGACGCCATAATTTGCACCTGTGCTAGGAGCTGTTTGTCTTGTTTCAGACTTTCTTTCAAAGTAAATGCCTGAGGTTTTCTCCTTTGGGTGTTTTTGTTTTCTATCCCAAGAGCATTCTGAGCATTTTGTAAAAACCGTGTTCCTAGTAGAAGCTTTTATTTGGAGCCTAGTACATGGGGAATTTTCTTTACAGTTGTTTTATCACCTTTGCTTTTAATTATCAATGGGGTATGAGCAGAAATACAATACTCTTCCAGAACTGATTTAAGATCTACAAGTGAGAGGCATTTAAGACTCAGTTATCTTTGGTCCATGGTGTGGAATCCTTTCCTTCAAAAGGTGTGCAAAGCAGCAAGCTCACAGTTGTTGATGTTCTTATTTAATGCAGGTATATGTATAGGTTGGTTGGTTGAACTTGTAGCAATGATTCCCTCTAAGGAAAAACTGAGAATTTATTTAAAAGTAAAATGTGTTCTATTTATTCATTAGTCAGCAATCCATTTCCTTTCCTGATTGATGACTGATCTAAGTTTAAGGATGAGAACTGAGTTGAGTTACATGATGTTATAGCACTAAAGAAAACATTTTAGTTATTGAAAAGATTTTTCCTAAAAGGACTTTTTGAAGAACATTCAGTGTCTGAACCAAAATTAATTTAGTTTTTGTCCATCTTTTGTCCAACAAGGAGTTTGTGGGATGGAAGCATCTAAACAAATCCACCCAGCTCTTGGAGACTAGATTTGGAATAAATAATACAATTTAATGGAATTTTTTAGAAAAGTCCAAAACTCTTGGAATGGATTGATGACTGAATGAAAAATATGACTTGCATTTAGTCTCTGTATGGTTCTAATAACGGAAAACTCTTTGATATTTTGTAAATGTAGTCTTTTCTGTTCAGGGAAGTTTCCATTGCCCTGTGGTGGGCTCCGTGCTCAAGATGACAAGCTGGACTCCTTAATAACTGGGTAAGGAATCTTCTCACATCCAAGCTGATATGTCAGTTGAGATCATTGTGTCTTGCCTTATATCTGACTATGTCAGCTAGCGCAAAACAAAATCTGTCTCCTGGGGAGTGTTTTAGAGTAGCCATTTTACAATTTGCTGTAGTTCTTTCCCTCTAGCTCAGGAGAGAGAAAGGATTGTCCTCCGCAGATCTGAGGAAGCCAGCAGGATATTCTCTAGAGAGAATTAAGGCTGTTCTGACATCAACTGTGCTCTCAGAAGAGCAAAAACCCTCCCCGCAGGCCTCCTTGGTCTCCACCTGACCTGATTAAGGTTGTTCCCTGAATACAACCAATTTGTCTGTTGCTTGACCTCTTTTCCTGGTTGATTCTGCCCACCTCCTACTTCCCAACAGCGAGCAAGTCTGCCTGTTCCAGCACCCTCATTTTCAGGGCTCCAAGGCTGAGAAGCCAAACATCCAGCGCATGATTGATGCCAATAAGAAATGGCTGGAGAGTTTCAAGCATGATTGCAAAAGGTATCCTTTTGTCCTGTTTAAGCCTCATAGCTGCTGACTGATATCTCCCACTGCAGCCAATTCCCAAAAAGGTGTTGAGATTGAGAGACACTGAAAATAATAAACTGGGTCTATAGTGCCCAAGTGCTGTAAAACTAATCTGCATTACAGTTTGTATCCATGGGGGCAGGAGAGGAGTTTAGAACCCAGCTGTGGGCTTTTGCTGGCAGGTAGATCGTTTCTTACCCTCGTTTTCAATCAGATTTGCTCATCCAGTTTCTCATTAAGCTGTAGAAAACAAAGTTGTGCATCCTTCCCTCCTTTCACAGTCCTGTAGTTACGTGAAAAAATAAGCACACCCCACTGAAAGTTTTAACTTTTTCAACATAGTTCAACCTGTAGATATTTGATCTTCAATACTGATAAAGAGGATGCATGCATCGTCATCCACTGTAATTTAAATAAACATAATTGCAAATTTCCCATGTGCAAAAGTAAGTACACCCTTTTTTTTAATACATGTGGGCTTTATCAATACATTATCTTGACTATAACAATATGTAAAAGTAAAGGGGATGTAGTTGAACAAAGAAACAATGAAAATTTGACTTTGGGGTCAGTTATTCATCTAAAAATTAACAGATTTTCCTTCAGTGGAAATGGCAAGTGCACCCTTGGCTCCAATAGTGGGTCTTCCTCCACGTGGCAGAAACAACCTCAAGTAGACTATCTGCCAGTCTCTGGCTTTGACTAGGACAGGGGTGTCAAACTCACATTGTCACGACAGCATCATGTGACGAATTGGGACTTTCCCGCCTTCACTAAACCAGGCATAGGCGTGGCCAGCATGTGCCATATCCAGCACCCCCAGCTGGGAGTTTGACAGTCCTGAACTAGGAGGAATTTTTCTGCACATCTCCATGTAGAATTTGCTAGGTTGTGTGATATTTAGGGGTTTCATACCATGCACAGTTTGCTTTAAATCACCTACAGCATCTCAATTGGATTTAGATCTGGGCTTTGACATGCCCAATCCAGAACCCTCAATTTCTGGTTTTGTTTTGTGGGGTTTTTTTTTGGCCATGCTGATTTCTTAATAGGGCAGATAACACAGGTGGGAAGACTCTGTTCTACATTCCTTTGCAGATCATAGTTCTCTCCAGAGTTTCTCCTGAGTTGTTAGGAGAGATTTGCTTCTGAGTGATTTAACTGACCCTTCATTTGCTTCAGGTTAAATCCTGATTTTGGTGGGAGATTCAGATTAATCCTGATTCCCTGAATCTTTCTAAATAAACTTATCCCTCCAATTCGGTCTGTGACCAGCTGCATGGCAATAGAAAGCCCAGTTTTAAAAAAAATTCTTTCAAGGGGAATTCTCTTCCACATCTGGCTGTGGCCAGTGTCCCATTAGTGCCTTTCTAGTTTTTGTCGCCATGTTCTTATGCTTTTCCTTCACTCAAGTTGCCAGCCCTTTCTTGGCGAGTGCTTCACATTCCTCCAGCAGTGGCTCCGGTTTGGTGCAGCTTGGGTTGGATGAGAACAATCAGATCAAGGTCTACCACTTCTAGATGGACAAAAATCCTGCTTGTCTGCAAAAAGCTTACCCACCTGTCTAACAACAATATATATTATATCTCTGTACCCAACAGCCTCCACATGTTTTCTTGGGTTGCAATCAGAGATTGATTCTTAGCCAGATTTCTCTTGGGAAATTAATTCCAGCCATTTTGTAGATTCTCCATCCCAGGGAATGTCACAAGTGTGAAAGGAAAAGAAGTTGTGTGCTGAATGGAGAAAGGTGGCTGGTAGGTTACCTGTCCATATTTAGGGAGCCAGAGAAACAAAGGGCCCACCTGAAACACATGAGTCTTCTCCTATCTCTTGCTCAGCTTCCTCTTTCCACTGTCACCTTCCACACCACAGAATCCCAAGTTCAGGTATGGCTGCTGAGGGTGCTGGCAGTGTGTTTCTGCTCCTGCAGCAACTGAGAATATGAACTACAACATCAGTCTTTGCAGAGACTAAAGCAGGTCATGAGCAAGCCCAATTCTCCAGGTGCTTCTGAATTCTGGCAGTTCATTTCTACCCCTGGTTTCTGCCCTTTTCTTAAGGGCTTGTGTGCCTGACCTGCACTGGTGGCGTATTCATTGGGCATATTCTTCAATGCTCTCAGCAACACCAGAAGGCAAACCGAGATTTGGGGGAAATGAGAGCAGGCAATAGCCCAATGTACTCTTCCTTGCAAATGGTTAGTATATCCTTTGATTAAGCTGCCAGAAGAAAGCTAAATTTCTCTCCCACCTCCATTTTCAACTGGACCCTTCTCTCGGGTTGCTTTTTAAACAATGATCACCAGGCGTCTAAACAGGCAGCAAAATTCTCCCCACCCCCCCCACCCCCAATGCCTGGTGCTACAAGTGGCCTCAGGCCTCTCCTTTGTGAGGCAGATCTCTCCCTCTGGGTGGTCAGAGCAGTTTTTCTCAGAGTGGAAGGACCTGTTTTGTTGTCCTTCCAATAAGTGAAATGCATATTATAGCAGAGGATTGGAGGTGCGCATCCTTCAGCTATTAACTGTGTTTTTAAATTCTGATTAAATATACTTTTCTACATCTTTCATGACTTTGTTGATTTTTCCCCACTGCAGTCAAGATTTTTTTCCAGGCAGATTTTAAAGTGGCTCACCTCTGCATTGCTTCATCTAGTCCCCGACATTATTTTGTGAGCTGCTCTATTCCTTAATCAAGGCAGAGGCAATCATGGAGATTGCTAGGAGAAAAGTATCTCTCCTTGGATAGCCAGCAGATCAACTTCAGGCAGATTTTTCTGGTGGCCTTTTGTAATTGGAGTGTAAATGGTGGTGGGCTTTCCAGGGATTATATACTGAGCAGAAGTCCTGTGCCTTCTGCTCTATGCCTAATCCTTAATCCTTGCTTTTCCCTCTCTCCTGGTGGGCTTTCTATTGGTGGGCACCATTGTGTGACCTCCCTCAGGCCTCATGCATGAAGATTGGAGGTTCTGAAATGGGAGGCTTCTAGGCAGGCCATTCAGTGAGTGCCCCTGGCATCCACATATGGGAAGGTAAAAGCCATGGGGAGTGTGCCTTATGGTTATGGAGGATTAATACCAAAGCATCTTCTTGGGGGCAGTTACCTTACCATAAACAATGAAATGAAGCATCTGTGTTATACAAATATCATATCTGTCGGCCCATACTACAAACTTCCAAGTTTAATTAAAAACTTTTAGTTAGGACTTGGGCAACAAGTCGATTCTGAGATAATTTCACATGTCCAATTCCTAATCCATTATAAGGGCCAAAAGCTGTTAAGACCAAAATCCCTGTAAATGGATTAATGGAATTCACATAGGAGAAACATGTCAGTTAAGCCTTACAAGCCAACACTGCGGGAATGCAGTCTTGAGGTACAGAGGGTTTAGCAAAACACCCTGGGGGGTCTTTGCCCTTCCCTTTTGGGAATCACTGCCCCACCCCCAGCTGATCAGTGTGAGCTTTCTTATAATTCTGCTTGCCAGATATGTTTGGAAAGAAGAACTGGGAGAACCACCACCTCCTCCTCTCCCCAAGTTTACTTGCCAGCATTTCCTACAACCAACCTTTTCTTTTGGCTGATGCTGTTACAGGAATAGCATCCCCCACCACCACCACCACCAAACCTTCTCACTCTGCTTACCTGGTCTTCTACCCTAGCATGGCAGAGGCGTTCCAAGACGTCCTGAACAAAACATCTTTTGCTGCTGCTATTCTTGGTTCCTAACCATAATCAGTTATGATATGAACAGAGAGAGAAGTGGTAGTAAGGGCTCACTGGTCATGGCTGCCCATCTGACACTGGCTCCTGCGCTGCTGAGAGGAGGGCACCTTTGGGTGCTCGGACGATCCTTCCCTGTTGAGGCAGGGGGCTTTCTTGCTGAGCTGCTAGAAGATTTGCCAAGCAGTGATCCAACGGAGCCAGCTGCTATGTTTATCTTTAGTCCTGGCACCTGCAGTAAACAGTTCACTTGCTCAAAGGCCATCCAGAAAGGAAAACGATACTTTAGTCATGAACATGGTACCCTCTGCTAGGGAAGGTGGAGTATTGCCTGGGCTGAAAGTCTCCTTGCCAACCAGGGTTGCCGATGCAAGGTCTCTCCCCAGCTGAACCTGCCCTACTAAAAACCATTTGAGGGCCTTTGTCAACTGGAAACATGGTGGATTGCTGTCTCTCCCGGTCTGACAATTCATATTTTATTTCCTGTGATGAGGAAAGGAAAATGGCACTTTAAAAGGTTATATTAGACATTGCAGCTTTTAAATAGCTTTGGTGCCTAAGAGATGTATATATAAAATAATGATCTGTTTTATGCCTGACATTTGCTAGAATGGCTTCATTCATGTTAAAAACAAGATGTGAATTGCAGGATCTCTGCAATAGGACTCCCAACATTTATTCTGACAAAGCCACCACTGCCACCTTTATCCCAGCTTCCTGTTTGTTCTTGGAGATCAGCCTACACCAAACAAAGGACTCTCATGTTATAGAAACATAATTTTTATTGCACACTGCGCTGGCTTTTTTTTTAAATAGAAATAGAAAAAAGTATTAACACAGGCAGATGCAACTGGAAGCAAATCCCATGGTTTACCAAACAATAAAACAACATGCAGTGTCCCAAAGGGGTCTTTAAAAAAAAAAAAAAAGGCTGCATGATGAGAGGGATGGGAAAGAGCACGTGCCCATCAGAATTCAGCACCCTCTTCCTCAACCCCGAAAGGAGAGCAGGGCTTTTTCCATAAAAGAAATTCCTGCAAATGCTTGAAGTCCTCTTGACTTCCCCCCAGTTCTGGAGAAGAGAAAAATAGTTTCATTTATACAAAAACAAAAATCCATTCTGCACAAGAGCTCTACTTAATTCCAGTATAAATGACTTGGAGAAAGAGCCACCTCTTGGCTGTCCTTCCTACCCGCTGCTACACCAGCGTATAGGATTTGGAGTAGGCACCAGTTCCTTGTTTCTGTGGCCTCCCTGCGCCAGATGTACTCATTTCTAATAGTGAGTCTTTGGATCCCCCGATCTTGCTATGCATAGGCAAGCGTGGCTCAGCAACAGGACCCGGGCTAGGTTCAGAGGCCGGGGCAGGAGCAGTGGTGGAAGCAGCAGGAGGGGCACCACTAGCCGAGCCTGGCATGGCGAGAGTTCTCTGAGGTAAGGTGGTGGCTGCAGTTGTGTGTGGCGCAGCCGAGGCTTTGCTGCTGGCTTCTAAAGTCAAGTGTCTGGCCTGTGAGTGGTAAGCCCGAGCCAGGTTTCGTATGGAGGCTTCCCGGGGTGGCACTACAGGACAAGGGTCTTGAAGGTCTGGCTTGCGGAAGAACGTTTCAGATTTCATATACAAAGGCAGGTTGCAATAGTCACCTGTAGAAGGCAGAAAGAAAGGGGGAACAGAGAAGCTGTAGGCAGGGCCAGAGTAGCCCCAAGGTTACTCAAGGACAAAGGGGGTGCAAGAGGACCAGTCCCCTGAAAACAAGTAACTCCTTCAGGGAAAAGGCAAAGCAGGTGAAAGAAGCCTGGGGATCCAACCCACTCCACGACTGGCAAGCGCCAGCACTCCCTCTCCCTCCAGATGCCAGCTCTCTGGAGCAAGCCTCATCATCCCGATTTATAAAGCTCTCAGACCGGCTCTGGCTACCTAACTTGAAGGTTGTGTAGCCTTTCCCAGCCCAGAGCACATCCCATTCCACTATCCAAGCTCATCTGGATACTTTACAGGAAGCTTGTCCTGAACTGCCTCGTGAAGAGGTGCAGTCAAGAGAGCCCTGGGCGCACAGTGGCTAAAATGCAGCATTGCAGGCAGACTCTGCCCACAGCCTGGAGTTTGATCCTGACTGGCTCAAGGTTGACTCAGCCTTCCATCCTTCTGAGGTCAGGAAAATGAGGACCCAGGATGCTGACATTGTAAACCACCCAGAGAGTGCTGTAAAATGCTATGGGGCAATACACAAGTATAATAGCTATTGTTATTTGGGGCTGAGCTCTTCATTTGGGGCACCAAAAGGCAGCAGCTGCATCACGGCTCACTTTTATTTGCTCGGTGAGGGATAGGCACAGCTACACCCTTGCCACGGTCGCTGTCCTGTGGTTTGGGAGGAGAGGCTGTGAAACGGCAGATGCCTGGCTCGGAGGGAGTGCTCATGGAAGTCATGCTGTCAGCATTCTCATTGGTGCCAGTGGTCATCTGGTCAGAGGAGCTGTCAGAAATGAAGCACTCTGTGATTTCAAACTTGGCATGCTGCAGCTGCTCCTCTAACTTGGCATGCTCATAAGCCCGAGCCAACTCTTCGTAAGTGGATGAGGCACTCTCTGTGGACACCATGCTGTTTCGGCCTTTGTCTGTGGGAACAAGAGGGAGACAATGTAAACCCTGCCAGGACAACCAGCAAGGCAATTGATGGCACTCCAATTCTCCTTTACTAAGTTGAAACAGCTGGGGATGGAAGAAGCCAATTCCTGCACTTCCTGACTCCAAAGCCAAAAAGGAGATGTGGTGGAAATGTTATCTCAGAGTCTTTGAATATCCGGGCAGGAACAGACAGATTCAAGCTGAATCCTGACAAGACACGAGTGGATGTGACATTGGAAGCCAGTGGTATCCCATCTTTTCTCCTGGACAGTGTCTTCTCCCTAAGCCTGAAATGCTTCAGAAATAGGGGTGTTCTCCTGGATTTGCAATATCTGCTCAAAGGGCAGAAGGCTACTGTGGCTAGGAGAGTTTTTGTGCAACTCCATCTTGCATGCTAGTTACAACACTTCCTGGATTAAAAGTATCTGTTCACATCACCTCTTGTCTTAATTCCTGCAATGAACTCTCCCAGAAGCTTCTACCTATTCACTAAGCTCCAACAGAAACGATACCCTTTCAACCCACAATAACGCACCACGAAAGATGGGTGACTTTTTCTTTGCTGCCCCTCTCCTGTCCCCGCACCTGAATTCAGATCATCAACAAGCTGCTGGTGTTCAGAAGAGCTACTTAGATCTGGCTAGTTTGATGTATAATAGACACTGTGAATAACATTCCTCGTGATGATGCATGAAAGAGAGTGGTAGCTATTGGTAGAATTATCTCAGTTTATGTTATAATTTTTGTTGTTTTTAATTGAAGGTGCTATTTTGTAGAACCATTAAAGAATCTAGTTTCTCTATGCCTGTAAATTATAATAAGCAAATAAAATATGAGGAAAGACGAGCGAGCCTCCATTTTTATCTCTTGAACATTCTGGGGTGGCAGGACACAACAAACCGCAGCTGGATTTGAAAGGCTGCACTTTGTGGCAACTCACCTGTGTCCTGGGACAAACTAGCACTGAAACTGTCACTTTCAGTCACTGTGATACCATGCTGGGAGCCAACCGCTCTCCAGTCGGAGGCCAGAGTCCGTGCTGGTGTGGAGGCCTGGCACTTGGTGAGAGTCCACTGGCTGGAGTATCTGTTCCGGGCACTGTGTGTAGATTTCACACTTTTCCTTGAAACAGGATCTGCAAAAGAAGATGGCTGCCTTTTCTGGATTTGGAATGAGAAATGAGAGCTGTGTAGGTTGGACCCTGC